TGTTCCAGGTTTTTTTTTTTTTTTTTTTTTTTTTTTTTGAAAAAATGTTCTAGAAGAAATAATTCCAAAGTTCGACTAAAGGCGCAAGGTTAAAACTGGAACGAATTGCAAATATCGACGTTTACATGGAAAATGCAGCTATTCCATTGGACAGCTGCATCCTAGAGGAAGCTAAGTGTCGACATGGAATAACGCGTTAGCGTGGTACGCAACGATGCTGAGAAGGTGCACGTGTGTCTACACGCGGGGACTTTAGCTCTGCTTCAGTTCAATCTTATCGTGCGGCCCGCTCACATCTCCTGGATGCATACCAGTTACCGATCTAATAACGGTATCATCGGCCCGCTGTTCAAATTTCCAGCGTGAAAAGTGCGTGAAAGTGCCGACATCCCACGGCGGATATTCAAAATTCCCCTTAGTTCGAGAAACTCGATCGTTCCGAACGATCTTTGAACGCCTTTGTTCGTTTGAAAAGAATCTTCAAACCTGACACGCTGTTTATTAATCTCTAACAGCGGTAACGTAACAGAGGCTAATTTAAGGAACCGAGTTAAATATTTAGACGGATATGAAGAAAAAGATAAATTACGATAATCGAACTTCGTTTGAAAAGAATCTTCAAACGCGATACGTTGTCTATTGATTTTTGAAAACAGCGATGAGACGGACGTTTACTTAAGAAATATTTACAAGAATAATCGAACTGAAGAGATTTACAAAAAAATTATATAATCTAACTTAAAAAAAGAAAAAGGAGAAAAGATGAGGCAGAGATTTATTTAAGGAACTGAATAGGCATCAGGCAGGAGGAAAGAAACTGCAATAATCCGGATCTGTATCATTAAGTTCTGAAAAGATTCAAACAGCCTGAGGATCTCCTTTTAAAGATCAAGCAACAACAACAAGTCGATGCATTTCCTCAATCAGTTCGGCTCGATATCGTTAGAATTCGATCGAGAAATATTTATCGACTGTATCAGATAACCAGAACGTTGCAGCGTATCGTGAAACTCGATTAAATAACTAGAATCAGTCATCAGAGTCAGCAGTGTCTGTATAGAAGTTGTTCCAAGTTTCTCGGGGATATTTCCAAATATTCGCAGAGAGAGACAAAGGTAAAATCGAATTTCTCGGAGCATCCTCGACTAACAAACTCGTACTAACAGATTCGAGTAGCTAAAGTTTCGAAGACTTTTTTCTTTTTCATCTCGTCAACGTTCGGCAAAGGGAAGAAAAATGGACTCGATAGCGATCAGCGTGCAAGGAACAGTCAAGTGGATCCATCAGCTATAATTAAACGTCAATCCTATCGTCGTTGGACAGAGACACCGTCCGATCGATTGATATTCGATTCGAGAGGCTTGTTCAATGAATGGAAAAATGTTGATGTCGCCTGGTATGAGTTTAGTGGTGGCTGGTGTTGCTTCTGGTATTTGTTTTCTGATCTACAGTGGAGTCCTTAGGGGGTAAGTGCAGTTTTCATTTGATTTGTTGTTTCATTTTCCGTTTACCTTCGACGATACAAGTCTGGGTAATTGTAAAGAAGGATCTTTCGATCGTTTCTTTCAATTTTTCATTTGATTCCTCTAAAAGAAAGATTTTTCAATTCTCGGGGAGTGAGCGTGAAATGAAGATCACTAAATGTGGTTTCCTTTCAATTTTTAAATATTATTATTCTTTATTTATCGTTAGATTTGATAGGGCTGATAAGGTCTTGGTGGCCACAGTTACGTGTATCCTATAAATATGTAAATATTAAACAATATTTACACGATTATTACACGATTACAGTCGTCTTAGTTAATGTTATTATTTAGTAAGTAACTGCGTAGCCTTCTTTGATATTAATAAATACCTGAATCGTTGGAAAAAGAGATCTCCTGACCGATGGACCAAAATGGAGAACGCAACGCGGTAAAAGTAGGCCGAGCACCTCGATTCCGATTGTTAATCTCCATTGATATATTATTCAATTTCATAAATATACGGTTCGTGCGGTGATTATATTTTCTTAGAACCTGCTTTAGCTTCTTCTGGTCACGGCGGCGAAAAAATACGCTTTCGAGCCTTGAAGATATCGCGGATAGGCGTTAATGACGCGTGACGTAGAGTGCACATTATGCACATGTTTCGTCTGTTTGTGATGCGCTTTGAAGTACTTCTTCTTCTTCGTCTTCTCCTCGTTCTTCACACACGAACGATTTTCTTGAATTTTCTGTTGATTTTATTTCAGATTTTAAATAGATAATAATATCGATTACTCAAGAAATTTAGAAATCGCGTTTAGATACCGAATTCCAATCGATTTGTTTTCTTTCCATTTAACGGCGCTTCGTTCCACCACCTTTTGCATTTTTTTTTTTTTTCTTTTTACTAGTACCGTATGAAACATTCTCATCGTGAAACGTATCCCAAAAGTGATAAGTTTCTATCGAAACGAACTCATCGATCATAAAGCGTATCTGATCCTCGTGACAACAACGAGGATTAACGTCCAATGGTCGTCGAGTTTGACAAGAATCAGAAATATTATTCGTGTATTCACATAGAGACATGCCGCTTTTATGCAACGTGATCCATGGGTACATCGATTATTACGCGATTCAAGACAAAAAAAACAAGATACCAATCTGCCGTGATGTAAATACTGAGATAAAATTCTTCCGCACGTAAACAATTCCTAAATTTAGACTGATCGACTTGAATTTTAAATAATCGAGAATTTTCTCAAGATAGAATAGGCGGCTACAATCAGAAAACTCATCCATAGATATATTAATACTACGTCAATTAGTTTAATACATAGCGAGTTCGATAAGAAAAAAAGTCGTGTCATTAGAAAGCTTGAAAAAGAGATTCTAAACGAGGTTAGTGTATTTTCAATTCCCGTCTTTCAAGTATTTGTCGAATATTTCTTTTCTCTTTGAGATACGCGTTCCTGCGGTTGGCGTTCACCGTCTTCGATAGATTATATCTATTATGAAACTTGCCACGATGATTTCGTTAATGCATCTTGAAGAATTACGAGAAACATCACGCTACGCGTGACTTAAATATTCATTAGGCTGTTTCTTGCGTTGCGTTTCATTCCCGGTTTTTATTGACAAACCGCCTAGAATCTAATAGGAAAAGAGAAGAAGATAATTTCATATCTTGGTATCTCGGTTTTCTCTGTTCCCATAGCTGTAACAACGCTCCTCGTCGGTTTCCTTCGATTCAACACAGTTTCGAAGATGTCTTTAATTGGAAAGCCACGAAACCTGGCATCACCTGATACACCAATTTCAAAACCGAGATAGCGAGGACTACTATCTCTTGGATTATGAGGTATTTACGGAGATTAGATTGCCTATTGTCTTTCGGCAATTGTTTGCCTATTGCACGCGGAACTAATTATAATTTTCACGCGTAAAAAGACATTCAAGTAATTGGATAAATTTTGTTTGCGAAGAATAAATACAATGTAGAAACGTTTCTAGGAACAAGATAATACCGACGTTGAGGATAAAAAATAATGTGATCGAATAGGACGCTTCGGATAATTAAATAAATGTCACAGCTACAAGAAACTGAGAACTATAGAGAAACATTACAATAATTTTTTTAAAGAATATGCGTGACCTTGAAAGTAAAAAAAATTAAAAGTAAATTTAATCAGAAGAAACAAACAGAATTCCAATATTGTCGTTAATGCACAAATATAATAACAACGTCTTTAGGATAAGAATATCGATGACTTTGAAGATAAGGATATCATCTGATCAGGCAAAACAAATAAAATTATTGAGTCACCTCTAATGGATGAACAGAATAAAAAATATCTTTAGCGAGAAATATCGACAACATTGAAAATAAAAAAAATCTCCTAATCAGAAAGGAAAACAGAGATCATATAATTCAGCGAATATTGTCCTGAAGAAATAAACAGAAGGAAGGGAACACTAGGTAAAAATGTTAATAACCTTGACAATAATTCGGTTAGAAAGGGAAAAAACACGTTCAACCACAAAGTGACATTAGAGTAAAAAAATCAACGAAAAATACAATTCGTCACCTTCTATTTAAGCAGCTATTTATGCAAATGATTCGAATAGATATCATTCGAGTATCGGGGCGTTCCCTTTTTTCTGTACAGCCTGTACACGCGTCACACATTTGCTCGGCCATAAAGCTGTCTACCTGTGTTCACGACACACGAATCCACCTGCACAGAGGCGTGTAATAGCTACACGGCAATCGGTGTTCGAAGCTTTTTTGCAATGGTTCTCGAAGCAAGAACCGATTAGGTGAACGACTTTCGCGAGCCGCGGACCCGCGATCATCGCCGAGGAATCGTTATTTTAGATCTCTCTTGACACTTTTGCAGGAAAAGATAGTGGATGTAGCGAGGAGCGGAGTTGGGAAGCTGGTTTCTTAACGATCCAGTTGGAATTTCTTCGTTCCGAGCCGATATAAAACGAGGCTCGCGCTCGACGTTTCGAGTTCCTGGCCAAAGTAGTCCGGCCAAAGGCCTTCGAGAAGAATCTTTGGCCGTTATGACTCGCGTATGCACCGATATTTTTCGTTGTATTACGTCTAAAATTCGTTGAACATTCCTTTGGACTTTTGATAAACTTGATTCGAAGATAACTCGACACGTAGATTGCTTATTTCCATAATTGGTCCAAGTTATTATGATTCTCGAGATACGTGTATTATACCTGTATACCTGCGCACTGTACGTATGCGTGTGCGAAAGATTGTATATCTCTTTGGAATCGAGAAAAATTTTGTTCCAGGGTAGTTTAGGCTATTTTCAGAACATAAAGAGATTCGAATTGTTACGTAAGTTTTAATAATCGTATTCGCATATAATTTATGAAACGGTAAACGGTACCACCTAATATAATAAATAAACGACGGACCCTTACAAATTTCGTAACTGATCGAATAGTTCAACGAACATTATCTAACGCAGTAAGAATGCAAACTTAATTTGATACACATATCAATAACGTGGTAAGATAATTCCGAAAGAATCTGTAAAACTCGAATAAAAAGATTTAATAAAAAGTAGGTCAAATATTTCAACAGAAAATGTTACAGACACTTCCATTAATCATTTTGTTAAAATCGCGACACCATTCTGAAAGTTCACGAGATTATCATTGTTGTACCGGAAAAAAAAGAAATTAAAGAAAACGAGAACTTGTTACGCATTATACTAAATGTGGCAATAGAGATTATATTTTTTATTGATTTTCAAAGCTGTGAATAACGAGTGGAAAGAAATCGTTGGAAAGTTTATCAGCGGTTCTTTTTTTTTTACATTAATTATCTCTATACGCAAAATTGAGCCTCAACTTTTTTAATACCCTGTAGACACGCGCGTGGCCGTGTTTATAAACGAAGATGTTCGTATATATGCGTATGCGTACGACGAACTTCGGTATGCAGGGCTTGCTTTTATTTACTCTCTCTTGTTCTGACCAGTCTGACGAGTGTCGTTCACATTCTCCTTTTTCCCCTCGAGCACACGGTAAATTATATTTCGGTGATTTCTCAAGATACGGGGGATGACAAAAATCGAGGCTCGATTGCGAAGAGCGAAGAGCACACGAAAACTCGTGTTCGCGATATTTCCATTCAGAATATCGAGAAGGATATTCCGAATGAAAGAATATCGTGGCCAAAGTTTCGCCTCGCCTTGCTCTTTATTCTTTTCTTCGCTGAAACTTCGATTTTTATGAAAATTAAAACCTAACGATCGTTTTACAGAACAAAATTCTAGTTTCACGATAATTTGGTTTCATATTCCGAAAAGAAAAATATCGTCAGCACAAAATTTTTATGAAACTCCAATAGTTGCGAGTTATTTTGAAATTTTAAGTATTTCGAACGGTTCATAAGGATGGTACTCGTCGGTTTCTTAATTTTTGACGAATTTATGGCCAGTACACGTGTACGTAGGTGCTTGGTACGAGGTGTCATTTTCTGCATATTATCGTAGTCTTAATGTCCATAAATAGTGGTATTCACCCGTTAAAGTATACACGGTGTTTGAAACGGTACAGTCTATGCAACAAGTATAATTTATCTCCGAATACTTAGTCTACAACGTGAAAGCCCACGTAATCAGTTAATCGCTGGCTAATTGCGCATTTGTGGCATGAATAATCCAAGATAAGCTTCGTCGAACGTTTTATTTTGCGCAGCACTTACGATACTCGTTTTTTGAACACTGAAATAGTTCTATCGTGTCGTATTATTACACAACTAATTGGACTAACTGTTACTTATTCTCGAGTTTCACGATTACCTTTACGATTATTAGTAAACTAAACAGCGAATTTTCTATAGTGAAATATTAGAAAGAAGAAAAAAAGAGTTTCAAAATGCGAATATAGTATTTTATACTATAAATATAATAATGTTCATTACGTCGCTACAGCGGCGCCAATGGACTGCACAATATTAAAACATTCAC